ACTCTAAAACATGTTCACCTAGCCCTAGATTATTCAGAATGTAATCTGTGTGTCTGTCTATTTCTTTTATGCTGTGTATCTTCTCTTGTGACTTTTGGCTGGGTGCAGTGGCTCATGCCTGCAATCCCGGCACTTTGGGAGGCCGAGGTGGGTGGATCATTTGAGCTCAGGAATTTGAGACCAGCCTGGGCAACATGGTGAAACCCCGTATCTACAAAAAATACAAAATTAGCCAGGTGTGGTGCCACACAACTCTAGTCCCAGCTATTTGGGAGACTGAGGTGGGAGAATGACTTGAGCCCAGGAGGTCAAGGCTGCAGTGAGCCATGATTGTGCCACTGCACTACAGACAGCCCTGGGTGACAGAGCGAGACCCTGTCTCAGAAAAAAAAAGAGTGACTTTTTAAATAGCAATATCTATAATAATTTGAACATACGGTTACATTTACAGGATTGTAGTGCTCACTGTGGTCTTTTTATTCCATAACATCCAATGCTCTGGTTTCCATTGGATGTGGCTGGAGCGAGGCTGGAGCGAGGCCTGTCTGAGGAGTTTCCCTGGAAGGTTGTGTGGTGGTGAACCCCGAGGCCTTGCACGTCTGAGCATGCACAAGTTGCTTTTCACGGGAAACACAACTTAACCGGTGGGGAACTGTTGAATTATATCTTTCCCTCTTAAAATTCTAGCTTCTGTGTTGTGGGCAAAGGTTAGCCTGACTCCTTCTTTGTAGGTAATTTTGTTTTTGCTGCTTTGATTCTTCCAGGATTAATTTCTTACCTTAGAGTTCATTATTTGCATCTCGGTATGTCTGGAAGCTGGTCTTTTGCCATTTAATTCCACCTGGCTCCTAATGAGGCTTTTTCATCTAAGGATGTCATTCTTTCTGTTTTAGTCCAGGCAGGTTTTTTTCTCTTTCTTTGTATGATTGTTCTTTCTTTTCTATTTGTTTTGGTCTTTTCTTTAGGCACATACATTATTCACATGTTAGATCGCCAGTCTCTGTTTTCGGTATCTATTTTCTTTCTCATAATTTTATCTCTGTTCTCTTTCTTTAGCTTTCTGGGAAAGCATCTCAAATTTGTCCAAACATTATTGATTTAATTTTTTGCCGTGTTGGTTCTACTTTGCATCTCTTCCAGTTTTCTGTAAGCTTCTGTCATCACATATCTGGTATTACAACATTCTTCCTGCTCTCATTTTAAGCTGTCTGGATCTTAGCCAGACGCTTTTCCGACTCAGGCGGCTGCCTTAACACCTTGTCCCAGACATGTCCATCCGGGCCTGCCCTGCTCACAGCCCTTAAGAGGACCCTGAAGGGGCAAGCCCAGCACACCAGAGGCATCTCTCTCCGGCACTGGCTTTGGCTGATTGGACCTGGGATGTACATTTGAACTCAAGAGGCTTCATCTTTCACAAATTTGAAGAAAGTGACAGAGAGGAAAGTAGGCAAGTTGTTTAGGTACTATTATTTTATTGAATTCACTTAAAAAAAAAAACTTAGTGAATGTGCAAAACAGATGTATAGTGAAACACTCACGTATGCATGAAACATCACACTTAAAACTCTCTGTTCCTTGCCTGAATTTTGACTCTGGACCCCATCTTGTTAGATTGGTGGGAATTCACTTAATTTTTTAGTGGATTTTCTCATTCTAGGTTGGTAAAAAGGAGGTCTCACACAGCTTTAGGACATTGGAGTGGAAGCCCCAGGCATTGGTTCTCAGTCTATTCTGATTACTACTGAGCCGTCTTGCACTGCACCTTCCGGTCCTAGGTCTGCTGTGTCTGTGCCAGGCATGGCGTGTGCAGCATTTTGGCTTAACTGGGAACCTCTCAGCGATTCCTCCTGGACCAGTGAGAGGGCTGTGGTCTTATCTACTTGCAGGCTTCTGGGAATCTTGTCTTGGTTTTAGGGAATATACTCACTGTTCCTTCGTATTCCCTCAGAGAATCTTTTCTCCCTCAGGACATTTGGCAAATCTCCAACTGCTTTAGATTTTGGAGCCAACAATCAGGAAGGGAAGCATTGCAGCAACTTCTGCTTTCTGCTCTGCCATAAACCTCCACAAGGAAGGAAGCACAGAGCCTGTTACTGCTTGAGAGAGAAAAAAGAAAAGAAGGAAACAGGTTGGGCAGGGCGTGGTAGCTTGTACCTGTAATCCCGCCACTTTGAGAGGCTGAGGAGGGAGGGTTGCTAGAGTTCAGGAGTTCAAGACCAGACTAGACAATGTAGTGAGCCCCTGTCTTAAAACAAAACAAAACAAAAGATGGAAAGAAAAGGAGGAAACACAAATTTGTATTATGTAATGTTATGCTAATTTATTGCTTCTGGAATTCTATGTTTTACATAAAAAAAAATAGGTCCCATTATATAGTTACTATTGTTTCTTTTTTGAGATGGAGTTTCATCCTTGTTGCCTGGGCTGGAGTGCAATGGCACGATCTCGGCTCACTGCAACCTCTGCCTCCTGGGTTCAAGCGATTCTGCTACCTCAGCCTCTGGAGTAGCTGGGATTACATGCGCCATCACGCCTGGCCAAGTTTTTGTATTTTTAGTAGAGATAGGATTTCTCCGTGTTGGTCAAACTGGTCTTGAACTCCCGACCTCAGGTGATCTACCCTCCTCAGCCTCCCAGAGTGCTGGGATTACAGGCGTGAGCCACTGGCCCGGCTATTGTTTCTTTTTATTCAAACTTGATCTATGAGATTCTATCCAAGATGGGTGTTGTAAGGATATTTCTTGGGTATTCTTACTTCTGGATGCTTTTAGGATCTCCCTTCTAACTGGAGCTGGAGGCTGGTTCGCTGCTCAGCGATGGCACAGCCTGAGAGAAATGTGTAGGCCGTGAAGCCTTGGTCAGGCCTGGTGGGACGTTTGGCACAGCCATCTTTGTTTGAGGAAATGACTGTGCTAGGAGTCAGACTTGCTGCCACCAGGCTTTTTCCTCATGCTCCTGCCCGCTTTTTCAGGGAAGGAAATGCCCTGTCTCCTGCCCAGCCTCTTCTGGGCGTTGCTGTTGCTGTCTCAGGGCTGAGCCTTGCCGCACTGGGAAGATGTGCCTCCTGCTTCCACTGCTGCTACTCTGGTTTGAAGCTTATGCCCTGAGCCCCCAGTCCTCCTACCTTCTTAGGCTCTTAGATCCACTGCTCTAAAGTTCCTCCAAGGGAGAGTGGATGTTGAGGGGATTCAGGTTCTCCTCTACGTCCTTCCCACCAAACACACTAATTTTCTATGAGAAGTGAGTTGGACATTGGCTTTTGCCCCCTTTCTTCATTTTGGCTACCAATATCATTATCTCTAGAATAATTTTTTGGCTCATGGATGGTACCTTTCCTTAATTTCAAGCACTAGTGAGATTTGTCCCAGTTTTATATTTCCTTAGTTTTTCAGACACCTATGCTCAGATCTCCATCTGTTTTTTGAGTTGAACATCTTTTCCCACCACTCTCCTCCACCAGTTGTCTGTTGCCTTTAATTAACATCTAAATAGATAACACATTCTTCTTTAATTATAATATGGAAATGTCTACGAACAAAGCAGATACTTTTTTTTTTTTTCCTGTAAATCCTAGGAAAGAGTGGTTCCAGTCAAGTTCATCTGAAGTTTTAGGCAGCTGCATCTACACAGCCCCGGGGCATGGAGGTCAGTGTCTAGGGACAGAGGTAAATACCCGCAATCTGTGCATCCCTTTGATTTTCCTTTTTTAGTGCCTGATTAATCATCTGGTGCTGAGGGACAGTTCTCGTTTCTTTAAATTCTTCTGGTTTGATTTGGATTTTATGCATTACCTACAGCCTCCTGAAATGTCAGTGACTTGGATGGCCGTAGCTCCAGAAAACTTTTCTTTGAGAATTTGGGTCCCTTTGAGCTCCCCCTCAGTCTGGGAGGCAAACATCCAATGAACACAGTGCAGAAGAGGAAGCCTGCAGATCCTGCGTGGCAGAGGAGCTACAAGGGCAGGGCTCCACATCTCTGTGTCTGACTGATGTAGCCCACCGCCCTAGGTCACTGGGCCACCTGAAAGCTGAGCATCCTTTTTAAAAGAATTTTTGGAACTTTTATTTTGAAATAATTTTAGACTTAAAGAAAAGTTGCAAAAATTAAATAGAGTTCCTTTATACCCTTCACCCTGCTACCTCTGTTAACATCTTACATAATCAGGAAATTAACATTGACAGGAAATTAACCAGGAAATGAAACCAGGAAATTAACATTCGAACAATGCTCGTAACTAAATTGCAGACCTTATTCACATTTCCCCAACTTTCCCCTAATGTCCTATTCTTGAACATCCTTTTAAAAATGATTTTTAATGCATCACAAATATTCACAAGTGATTTGCATTGGATCTGTAGTCATACCTGGAGGCCCAAATAGTGGGTTATATTAATTTTGAGTTATATGTTTGATAGTTTGTGTGTTAATTTTGAAATCACAGACAAGCTCAGTGCCAAGCTTGTAGTCTTGGCCGAATGAACATTGACTGTGGCCCTATGCTTCACGCTGTGATTTCAAAGACGAGCTAGATGGAGTCTCTGGAGTCAGCATTAAAACCTCTAGGGAAAATCACGTTCTTATGTTGGTAGTTCCAAAGATAAGCTGTAAGGAGCACAGTTGGAGCATTTGCTCTCTAGAGATCACATGTTGTAAGGAAATGTTGCTTTTCTGAAAATTAGAAATTAGAAAAATCCTGTCAGCCAGTAACCTTTTAACAAATGGTGGAAACTAGACCGGGACTGGGAGGAGAGGTATCGGGAATTAGGAAATGAAGCCTTGGCTGGCTTCCTCACCACTCCCGGAAATATATCCCTTTCAGAGTAAATTAATGGTACCCCTACATTTATGGAATGAGAATAGTACTGGTATTTGGATAACACTCTATAACCAGTGGTTTTCCATACAGCATGTCATTAAAAATCCTCCTTTCAAAACCTGGTCAGGGTGGTCTGGTGTGCAGAGTGAAATAAAGCATCTTCACTGGCTGTGTTTCTTTCCAGGCTTAGAGATGGCGTGCATCCAGAGGCCCCCTGTGAGTGCAGTCAGTGGGAGCCCTTCAACATGCCCTATATGGCGTCTGCTTCAGACAACTCTCATGCCTGTGCTGGCAGGACTGGAATCCTCTCCACCAGGTATGGCCTGGCCCAGGGATTCTCTAAGTCCTATGTTTACCTGTGCTGTGCAGTTTAACTGTTCTGTTAGTGAAAGAATGATCCACTGATAGAAATGAAGTAGAGAAAGGTGAAAATTTAGGAATTTCACCACCAGGCTAAACTACTTCCAAACATTCAGAGAACCTTGGATGAGCAGTCAAAGTCCAGGGCAAGCACAGAAAATGTTGTGAACTGGTTTCACTCTTTATTATCCTTTGTTATGAAGATGATGTATTAGTAACAGTGTTATAGGTAGTTAGGCATGAGTGGGGCAGGAGAGAGCTCTCCCTCCACCCACTAGAAATGTCGGGTGATGGTTTGGCAATTATTGCATTGCTTCTCTAAAACTGGCAGCACCAAGGAGAGGCCATTTCCTGATGGTTCACACCTGTTAACATCAAAATGCTAATTGAATGCAGGCCCCAGGGAGAAGCAACTTCCTGGGCATGCGTGTTAAGAGACGAAAATGGTGCAATATGATCTTCTGGGGGCACCCTCCACTGGAAAAGGAAGAAAGCCTCAGATGGGCATGTGTACAACTCCCTAAACTCACTGTGTGTGCTCAATTCCAAAGGGTAAGGAAAGCACGGGCATGTGGAAAGCCCACCCTAAGGGAAGAATCCTGGGAAAGAGGTGAGCCTATAAAGTCCCAGGATCAAGGTCAAAGGCCCCTTTTGCTGTCTTCTTTTGCTCTCATTTCTCTCTTGTACCTTCAGTGCCTGCTTGGGTCTCTTTCAAGCTGATTTTCCTCTCTTTCCTGTTCTAAAACCTTTTAAATAAACTTCCACTCCTTCTCTGAAACTTGTCTTGGTCTCTTTTCTGCTTTATGTCCCTCAGTTGAATTTTGGACCCATACAGATATGCTGCCAGTAACTCAGGGTAACTTGGATCTCTTCCACTGGTAACAGTGGTAATTGTAATCAATGATAAGTGCTTCCTCTGTGGTTTACTTGAATTATTTCCTCTAATTCTGACTGATTTAATTTTAATTATGATTTAATCTATAAATCTATAAAATTTAATTCTGATTTAATATATCAATAGGCAATAATACAGATGAAGCTTAAAAAGTTGGGCAACTAGATTGAGGTCAAGTAGCCAATAAGTGCACAGCAGAGCCTTGATTCACATCCAGGCATCTTGGCTAACAGCTGCCATCTTAACCATAGACCATACTGGGACACAAGTAATCCCAACATCATTCTGTTTGATTTGACCTTCAGCATTCTCTCTTCTGATTTGCTTAACACTCAAGGCCTGGTTTTCTTATTACCTAAAAACATATGCTGTTTGAGCTTTTGTTTCGTATTTCTTTGTAAAATGAGGTAATTCTGTTGGTCAGTCTGTAAGCTCCTTTCTAGGGCTAAAACTCTACAGCCCTGCAATTCTTTTTTCTGTTGCCCAGGCTGGAGTGCAGTGGTGCCATCTTTGTTCACTGCAACCTCTGCCTCCTGGGTTCAAGTGATTCTCCCACCTCAGCCTCCCGAGTAGCTGGGATTATAGGTGCCCACTACAATGCCCAGCTAATTTTGTATTTTTAGTAGAGATAGGGTTTCACCATGTTGGCCAGGCTGGTCTCGAACTCCTGAGCTCAAGTGATCTGCCTGCCTTGGCCTCCCAAAGTGCGGGATTACAGGCATGAGCCACCGCACCCGGCCAGTCCTGCAATTCTTGATATCACTTGTTAAGTGTTGGATATCTTTAACATTGCTACTGAAAACATGCAACAAACAAATTTTAGGCTTGCAAAAATAAATAAATCTGGATGGACCCAACAGAATGTTACCCAGGGTTATTTCTGGGTGAAAGGATGATGGTTGTTTTAAAAATGCTATTTCTTTTTTCTTTTTTTTGAGACAGAGTCTTGCTCTGTTGCCCAGGCTGGAGTGCAATGGGGCTATCTCGGCTCACTGCAACCTCTGCCTGCCAGGTTCAAGTGATTCTCCTGCCTCAGCATCTCAAGTAGCTGGGACTACAGGCGCCTGCCACCACTCCTGGCTAATTTTTGTATTTTTAGTAGAGATGGGGTTTCACCGTGTTAGCCAGGATGGTCTTGATCTCCTGACCTCGTGATCTGCCTGCCTCAGCCTCCCAAAGAACTGGGATTACAGGCATGAGCCACCGCGCCCGGCCCAGTTGAGCCTTTTAAAAAAGCCAAGCATTTGACTGGGCGCAGTAGCTCACGTCTATAATCCCAGCCTTTGGGAGGCCGAGGCGGGTGGATCACAAGGTCAAGAGATCGAGATCATCCTGGCCAACCATGGTGAAACCCCATCTCTACTGAAAATACAAAAATTAGCTGGGCAGGGTGGCGTGTGCCTGTAGTCCCAGCTACTCTGGAGACTGAGGCAGGAGAATCGCTTGAACCCGGGAGGCGGTGGTTTCACCATGTTGGCCACGCTGGTCTTGAACTCCTGATCTCAGGCAATCCGTCCACCTCGGCTTCCTAAAGTGCTGGGATTACAGGCGTGAGCCACTGTGCTCAGCCTATATTTATTTTTGGCTTGTCTTTGTTTTCCAGTTTTTCTCCAACATAAATATTTGTATAATAAAGAAATATTAAAGTTTAAGAAGTTGTGATCCTTTATTGTGGGCTGGTAGCCTACATTCAGTCCTTGACTTTGTTAAGGAACAGAAGAATGAAGTAGTCCCCTATAAATAAGATAAAAATATTAAAAATTTTCATTGTGGTAAACAAAACCAAACCTAGCATCTTAACTATTTTTAAGTGTACAGTACAGTACTGTTAAGTATATTCATATTGTTGTACAGCTAATCCCCAGAACTCTTTTCTTCTTGCAAAACTGAATCTCTACACCCATTGAACAACTCCCCGTTTCCTCCTCCCCTTCAGCCCCTGGTGATATGGACAGGACACAGGGAAGTACTAAGGAGAAGAGGGCGGTTCCTTGGCAAAGGCCCCACCCTCAATCGTGGAGACCTGTGACCCTAAGTGGGAACAGGCATTTCTGTTTTTGCGCCCCAAAAGTTGTCTTTTGGCCTGCCATGCCCCCCATCCTATATCCATATAAACCCCGAACCCCAGGCTTCAGAAGCAGATGAGCAGGTGAGGAGACAAGGAAATAAGGAGACAAGCAGATGAATGGCGGAACAACGCAGCAGAGAAAGAGAGAAGAGGAGGAACATATGAACACTGAGAGGAGTTTGGCTAAGCGTGGTCAGAGGGGAGTGCAGCTGCTGGATGGCCAGACTCCAGGGAAAGATCATCTTCCAACTTCATCCCCTCTGTAGCTGCCCATCCATCCCTCTCAGAGCACCTCCACGGCTCAATAAAACCCCGCATTCATCCCTTAAGCCTGTGTGTGACCTGATTCTTCCAGGGACGCTGGGCAAGAGCTTGAGATACAGAAAGCTGTCACACCGGCCCTCTGCCCTTGCAAAAAGGTAGAGTCCATTGATCTGGTTAACACTCAGGCTGTCCACAGACGGCAGGGCTAAAAGGGCACACTGTAACACATGCCCACATGGGCTCCTGCACCTGTCCATCTACGTGCTTCCTCTCCCTTTAGGGGTTTGAGCAGCCGCGGAGACGGAACAGCTAAGCCACACCCCTGCTGCATGTCCTGCAAAGGGGAACAGAGAACTCTCCTGTTTCGTCGGCAGCCACCATTCTATTTTCTGTCTCTCTGACTTTGACTACTGTAGATACCTCATTTAAATGGAATTGCACAGGATTGTCTTTTTGTGACTGGCTTAACTTAGCATAATGTCCTCAAGGTTCATCTGTGTTGCAGTGTGTGTCAGAATTTTTTTCCCGTTTAAGACTGAATAATATTCTCGTGTATGTGTATACCACATTTTGTTTATCCATTCACCTGCCGATGAATAGGGTTGCTTCTACTTTTTGGCCATTGTGAATACTACTACTTAAAAGATTTTTCTTTTTTTTAAATTGGGGCTGGTACCTGATTCAGGGAAAAAAAGGAAGTAAATATCTATGTACAGTAAGTCCTCACTTAACATCATTCATAGGCTCTGGAAACTGTGACTTTAAGTAAGATGACATATAATAAAATCATTTTTTTCAACTTTTATTTTAGATTTAGGAGGGTACGTGAGCAGGTTTGTTACATGAGTAAATTGTGTGATGCTGGGGTTTGGTGTACAAGTAATTTTGTCACCCAGATCGTGAGCATAGTACCCAATAGTAGTTTTTCCACCTTCACACTCGTCCCACCCTCCACCCTCAAGTATAGCCAGGTGTCTGTTGTTCCTGTCTTTATGTCCATATGTACTCAACGTTGAGCTCCCACTCGTAAGTGAGAACATGCAGTATTTGATTTTCTGTTCCTGCGTTAGTTCACTTAGGATAATGGCCTCCACTTAGGATAGTTCACTTAGGATAAAGTGTATCCATGTTACTACAAAGGACATGACTTCATTGTAATTTATGGCTGTATAGTATTCCATGGTGTATATGTACTACAGTTTTCTTTTATCCAGTCGACTGTAGGTGGGGACCTAATTTGATTCTAAGTCTTTGCTGTTGTGAATAGTGCAGGAATGAATGTATCAGTGCATGTGTCTTTTTGGTGGAATGACTTATATTCCTTTGGGTATATACCCAGTAATGGAATTGCTGGGTTGAATGGTAATTCTGTTTTCAGTTCTTTGAGAAATTCCCAAACTGTTTTTCACAGAGGCTGAACTAGTTTACATTCCCACCACCAGTGGATAAGCCGTCTCCTTTTTCCAAAATCTTGCCAACATCTATTATTAACCAAACCAATTTTACCATAGGCTAATTGATATAAACAAGAGTCAAGTTCCTATGGCATATTTCTGGTCACAAAAACATCACCAAACTTCTAAATAAAGACTCCAAACACTTTTAATATTACACATTGAAATATGAAAGTGGACCGTACATATACTTAAGAAAAATTAATGAAAACAAGTTAGATAACCACCTGCTTATTCCAGTTCAGGGTACAGGTGGCCAGAGCCTCTCCCTGCAGCTCTGAGTGCCAGGTGGGAAGCAACTCTGGAGTTCGCCATCCCATTGCAAGGCAGAGTCACACGCACCCACGCTCACTCACGCTGGGACCAGTTAGACACCTGATTTACCTGATGTGTACAGCTTTGGGATGTGGGAGAAAGCCAGAGTACCTGACGAAAACCCACGCAGACATGGGGAGAACATGCAGACTGCACAGAGACAGTAGCTCTGACTGGGAACTCATCAACATTATAATGAAATGATGTTGAACGGAGCGATGTTATTTGAGGACCTGCTGTAGTTTGCCTGAGCACGCTGGCTCTTGGGAATCTTCCCATCAAATTCATTTAAATGACAGCTGGGTCTTTGGTAATGCCAGCCCCCCATGGTTGGTGTCAGTGCTCACTATGTGTGAAATCATAACATCCCTGTCAAATGGCAAGAGTTTGCACAGGAAATGAGTAAGTGCATAAAAACAGAACTGAACAATTTTTTTTGGGCCAGACGTGGTGGCTCATGCCTGTAATCCCAGTACTTCGGGAGGCTGAGGCGGGCACATCACCTGAGGTCGGGAGTTCGAGATCAGCCTGGGCAACGTGGTAAAACCCCATCTCTACTAAAATACAAAAATCAGGCCAGGTGTGGTGGCTCATGCCTGTAGTCCCAGCACTTTGGGAGACCAAGGTGGGTGTATTGCTTGAGGTCAGGAGTTCGAGACCAGCCTGGCCAACATGGTGAAACCCCATCTGTACTAAAAATACAAAAAAAAAAAAAAAAAAAAAAGCTGGGCGTGGTGGCAGGTCCCTGTAATCCCAGCTACTAGGGAGGCTGAGGCAAGAGACTCACTTGAACCGGGGAGGTGGAGGTTGCAGTGAGCCGAGATTGCACCATTGCACTCCAGCCTGGTGACAGAGAGAAACTCCATCTCAAAAAAAAAAAAAAAAGTTAGCCAGGAGAGGTGGCATGTGCCTGTAGTCCCAGCTACTCGAGAGGCTGAGGTAGGAGAATCACTTGAACCTGGGAGGCAGAGGTTGCAATGAAGCAAGATTTCACCACTGCACTTTTTTCTGGGTGACAGAGCGAGACTCCGTCTCCAAAAAAAAAAAAAAAAAAAAAAGAAAAGAAAAGAAAAGAAAAATTTTTTTGAAATAGCTTAATCAGATATTTAAAATTATAAAATTATAAAAGAGATTATAGGCTATGATTACACTATGTCCAAATGTTGTTGTTGGAAAATCAGGTTCTTGTGACACGACCGGGATGATTTAGGCACATGGACACATTGTAGGGTGTGTAGGGCAGGGTTCATTGGGTGAAAAGGAAGAAAAAAAGGGAAACGGACTCTCAGCAAAGTGAGAATCCTGCTAGATTGAATCCCCGGTTACCACACAAGAACAGGAACGGCCAGGCTCCTCCCCCTGCAAACAGCTGAAACTTCCCGAGGCCCCACCCCATCCTCCCAGTGCACAGGTGGGTTGAAGATTCT